GGAAAGGAAGGAAGGGACTGAAGGAAGGAAGGGACGGAAGGAAAGGAAGGAATCGAAGGAAGGAACAGAAGGAAGGGAAGGAAAGAAGGAAGGAAGGGAAAGGAAGGAAGGAAGGAACGAAGGAAGGAAGGACGGGAAGGGAAGGAGGGAAGGAAGGAGGGAGAGAAGGAGGGAGGGAGGGAAGGAGGGATGGGAAGGTAGGAAATGAAGGTTGGAAGTAAGGTATGAAGGAAGGAAGAGGGAAGGAGGAAAGAGAAGGAAGGAAAGAAAGATGGAAAGAAGGAAGGAGGAAGGAAAGAAGGAAGGAAAGAAGGAAGGAAAGAAGGAAAGAAAGAAGGAAAGAAAGAAGGAAAGAAGGAAGGAAAGAAGGAAAGAAGGAAGGAAAGAAGGAAAGAAGGAAGGAAAGAAAGAAGGAAAGAAGGAAAGAAAGAAGGAAAGAAGGAAAGAAGGAAAGAAGGAAAGAGGCGTCTCAGAAATTTCACGGAAAAGTAGATTGAAAAGATAATGCTGGGGTGGGTGTCATGACACAGTAGGCTAAGCTTCTGCTTGCAACACCCACACCCCACACTGGAGTGCCAGTTCGATTCCCAGCTCCTCTACTTCCAATCCAGCTTACTGCTAATGCATCTTTGGAGGCAGCAGACGTGGCACAAATACCTGGGTCCCTGCCACCCACATGGGACACCCTGATGGAGTTCCTGGCTCCCAGTTTTGGCCTAGACCAGCTTCATCTATTGCAGCCATTTAGAAAGTGGACCCATGGGCTAGCGCTGTGGTACAGTGGGTTAAGGCCTTGGCCTGAAGCGCCGGCATCCCATACGGACGCCGGTTCTAGTCCTGGCTGCTCCTCTTCCAATCCAGCTCTCTGCTGTGGCCTGGGGAAGCAGTAGAAGATGGTCCAAGTCCTTGGGCCCCTGCACCCATGTGGGAGACCCAGAAGAAGCTCCTGGCTCCTGGCTTCAGATTGGCACAGCTCTGGCCATTGTGACCATCTGGGGAGTGAACCAACAGATGGAAGACCTCTCTCTCTGTCTCTGCCTCTCTCTGTAACTCTTTCAAATAAATAAAATAAACCTTTAAAAAAAAAAAAAAGTGGACCCAGCAGATGAAATATCTCTCTCTGTGTCTCTCCGCCTCTACTCTGCCCTTCAAGGAAATAAAAATAAATGAACATTTTTTCAAAGATATTATGCGTTCTCCATGAATTTCTCGAGGACCTTCATAAATGTGCACACACCTATATATGCACACATTCTAACTACATATTTGGCCCTGTTTTCTTTCTATATGATATTTGATTGTGTACTTTCTCATATAACTTACATTTTAAAACATTTTCCCTTATCGACAATACTCAGAGATACTATCAGATAGCAATTACCTGCCTCAAGTATATCCTGACTAATTAGAAAACCAAAGGGCTTTAATAAGCAGTTAAAGTTTCTATCAAAGTAAATGCTGTTTTAAAGACAACTGGTTCCTATAATTATATAAATATATTCACATTAAACTGATAATGCCATTGAGGAGGTTCTTTGTTATCAGTTGATTTCCAATAATTGGACAAAGCCAACTATGATTTTTAAGTGTTATTTTCATTCCCAAAGAAAAGAAAGGAAGAAAAAAAGATGAAACCTTCTTGGTCACAGCAAGAACCAAAACACTATTACACCTGTCTCTTTGCATGAATTCACCTCAAACACACACGTTCCAAAGTCTACTTCAAACAAGCTGCTAGCATTAGCTCAAACCTGATCAATGAAGCCAGCAGAAGACAGCCTTTCTCCATGCCATTAGAGAGAAAACACACCACCATTATTTAGGAGGCCTGCAGAGAAAGAGATCTGAAAAAAAAAATAAAAGAAGAAAAATAAATAGCCATATTTTAGATTCTGTGAACAGGGCATTATGGCTGGAATTTATTACACAAGATTTTCCTGAAATCTTTGCTCTAATTTTAGAGCTTTGTCAAACCTTATGATAGAAATAATTAAAACCTGTGCACTGTGAGGTGAAGCAGTAAGGTTTCCCCCACTAGCTGACAGTGATGGCAATGCCGCCAGCCGCCAGCCGTAGGACAAGTTTGCCATTTTACCTGCAAACATCAGGCTGGACACCGACCAGCATCGCTTGGGGCTGCTGGAATTCCTGGGAGCAGGTCAGCAGGGCCAGGTCTCTGCCCTCCTCCCCTCACGTGGGAACGGTGCTTGGAGAAGGGTACTTGTCGAACGGAACCTGCCACAGGCAACGCACTGCAGGAGCGCCCCCACCCCTACCCCTTGTATTCTGTTTCACTATAAAAGCAGCCTCTCGTGTGACAATGAACACTTTAGCTATAAGCAGTCCCAATCTCTCTCTCTCTTTTTTTTTTTAAGATTTATTTATTTATTTGAAAGGCAGAGTTACAGAGAGGGAGGCAGAAAAAAAGAGAAGCTTTCCATCCACTGGCTCACTCTCCAAATGGCCACAACAGCAAAAGCTGGGCTGATCCAAAGCCAGGAGCCAGAAGCTTCTTCTTGGTCGCCCACATGGGTGCAGGGACCAAGGACTTGGGCCATCCTCTACTGCTTCCCCAGGCCACAGCAGAGAGCTGGATTGGAAGTGGAGCAGTCAGGACTTGAACTGGCACCCATATGGGGTGGCAGCACTACAGGCAGTGGCTTTACCTGCTATGCCACAGCACCGGCCCCATCAGTCCCAGTCTTAGGCGACTGTTTAAGGGAATCCTGTCAGACATCACAGCTTCCAGAACTTGGAGACCTTGCAAGACAAAAGCCCCAAGGGACACTGAGTGTGAGCGCTAGCTCAATGTCAGGCAACCGAGAGAGCCGTCCCGGTCAAGCTCATGCTCCAGGCAGCCCTGAGTGTCTCCAAAACCTACAGCAGTATACAACTGTACCTGCACACACACACATGCACAGATATACAGGTATATATTTTTAATATTTAAATTTAAATGAATTTCTTATATGTGCCTTTTCAGACACACCCCATCATAAAATATATGACCTTAAATAGATGAGTGGAAACTGTGACTGTGGCTTTTTAAATTTTTTAAAAAATATTTATTCATTTATTTGAAAGGCAGAGAGAGAGAGAGAGAGCAAGCGAGCTCTTTCATCTGCTGGTTCACTCCCCAGATGGCCGCAACAGCCAAGACTGAGCCAGGCCAAAACCAGGAGCCTGGAGCTCCATTCTGATCTCCCATTTGGGTGGCAGGGGTCCAAGTACCTGGGCCATCTTCTGCTGCTTTCAAAGGTACATTAGCAGAGAACTGGATCAGAAGCAGAACATCTGAGACTTGAACCATTGGTCTAATATGGGATGCCAGCTTTGTAGGTAGCTGCCGCTCCCTTGCCCGCAAAGGAACAACACTGTTCGCAGCTTATCGGTCTTCAGCAGACTTTTAATGAGAAAATAACAGTGACAGAGAAAGAATGAAGGGAGGAGAGTGGACAGGAAAGCCCCCTCCTTCCTCAGCACACAGCTTATATACAAAATCTGGCCAATTGCAAGCGGGCTCAAGTCCATGCACGGAACACTCCAATCCGCTGTCTGTTCACGCAGTGTGCACGCGTCCTCGGGCCAATCAGATGGGGTGTCACGCAGCAGGCAGGCTCACCGCATAGTCCTCAGCGCCATCTTGTTGTTTATGACATTCTCAACTCCTCTGGAAAGTTCTGAACGTGGGAAAGCATTGTCCTAACCGAAACTAGCAACATTCGCCTTGTGATAAAGACACAGCAACAGCTATCAGACCAACCTTGACGTGGGGGCTCCATGGCTGCGCTTCCCATGGAGCCCCACAGGTAGCAACTTAACCCACTGTACTACAAGGTGCATCTAACAGGATTTTTTTTAAGATTTATTTTTTTTTTATTTGAAAGAGTTAGAGAGAGGCAGAGACAGAAAGAAAGAGGTCTTCCATCTGCTGGTTCACTCCTCAGATGGCCGCAACAGCCGGAGCTGCGCCGATCTGAAACCAGGAGCCAGGAGCTTCTTCCGGGTCTCCCACGTGGGTGCAGGGGTCCAAGGGCTTAGGCCATCCACTGCTTTCCCAGGCCATAGCAGTGAGCTGGATCAGGAGTAGAGCAGCCAGGACTCAAACCAGCGCTGCAGGCTAGGGCTTTTAACTCACTGTACCATAGCACTGATCCCATAGGATTTTTTTAATCCTACCTTAATACTGCAACTATTAGGCCTCTCAAGGGTTCAAAGGTGTCAACAATGACAGTCTTTTTTTTTTTTTTTTTTTTGACAGGCAGAGTGGACAGTGTGAGAGAGAGACAGAGAGAAAGGTCTTCCTTTGCCGTTGGTTCACCCTCCAATGGCCGCCGCTGCAGCCGGCGCACCGCGCTGATCCGATGGCAGGAGCCAGGAGCCAGGAGCCAGGTGCTTTTCCTGGTCTCCCATGGGGTGCAGGGCCCAAGCACCTGGGCCATCCTCCACTTCACTCCCTGGCCACAGCAGAGAGCTGGCCTGGAAGAGGGGCAACCAGGACAGAATCTGGCGCCCCGACGGGACTAGAACCCGGTGTGCCGGCGCCGCTAGGCGGAGGATTAGCCTAGTGAGCCGCGGCGCCGGCCAACAATGACAGTCTTGCTCACACCCCTTTTCCCCAATGTGGGCTATTGCAGCAGCCTCCTTGGGGTTTCCCCTAGTGTCCACCTACTCTGCGTGGTCACCAGCATTGCCTTCTGTTCATTCACCCAATGCTTATTGATTTCTTTCTTTCTTATTATTATTTGTGCAGCAAAGAAAGGGAGAAAGAAAGATAAAGAGAGCTCTCAAATCTTTGTACTAGCAAGGACTGGGCCAGGCCAAAGCCAGGAGCCGGGAACTCAATCCAGGCCTCCCATATGGGTGGCAGGAACCCAACTACTTGAGCCATCACCACTGCCTCTTAGGGTTTGCATTAGCCGGAATCTGGAGTCAGGAGCTGGAGCTGGAGTGGGTATTAAACCCAGGCACGCCACTACGGTATGCAAAAGGGCCAGCGCTGTGGTGTAGTGGGGAAAGCTACAGCCTGTGACACCAGCATCCCATATGGGCGCCGGTTCGAGTCCCACCTGCTTCACTTTCAACCCAGATCTCTGTTAATGGCTTGGGAAACACACCAGAAGATGTACTTGAGGCCCTGCCACCCACATGAGAGATCAAGAAGAAGCTCCTGGCTCCTGGCCTTGGCCTGGCCCGGCCCTGGCCCTTGTAGCCATTTGGGGAGTGAACCAGCAGATGGAAGATGGATCTCTCTGAGTCTCTTTCTGTCTCTCTGTAACTCTGACTTTCAAATAAAGGCAGAGATCAGAAGTGGAAGAGCTGGGACTTGAATCAGCACCTATATGCATCATTGCAAGCAGTGGCTTACCACAGCTGCGCCACAATGCCCGCCTGAGTGTAAATGACTTAACCACCATCTGAACCCATCCCATGGTTTCTCGCTATGAGTAAAATGATGATCACTTACAGAAGACACAAAGATGAGTAAGACACCTCCCATACTCTGAAGGATCACACAGTCTAAGATGCAAATTCTGTTTTGTTATTCACCTATCTGAAATTCGTCAGGAAATGCCTGTAGGATGAAATCAGAACTGACGGGGCTGGTGCTGTGGCATAGTGGGTAAAGCATCCCATATGGGCACCAGTTCAAGTCCCGGCTGCTCCTCTTCTGATCCAGCTCTCTGCTATGGCCTAGGAAAGCAGTGGAAGATGACCCAAGTCCTTAGGCCCCTCCACCTACGTGGGAGACCCAGAAGAAGCTCCTGGCTCCTGGCTTCAGATTCACCCAGCTCCAGCTGTTGCGGCCATTTGAGAAGTGAACCAGCAGATGGAAGACCTCTCTCTCTCTCTCTCTCTCTCTCTCTCTCTCTCTCTTTCTCTAACTGTGCCTTTCAAATAAATAAATTTTTTGAAAAAAGGAAGGAAGGAAGGAACTAATTAGTACAGCACGATTTGTCATTGTTCGTACTCATGGGATCTGGTCCCAGACCAAACTGCTCTATCCGACTCCCTGACTCTGTCATATATGTTGCCTCTACCCTAGCTACCTGGAACCTGTTCACCCTCCCAAGGCCCATGCAAACGACATCCTCTTCCTGGACTGGCCCTGCTATGGTTTGAATGTGGTTCCCCACCCCCACCAAAACTCACGCTGAGGCTTCACTCCCCAGCAGATCACTACTGCACCATGGGGAGACCTTTCAAAGGGACAGGGCCGTGACCCCCTCATGAAGGGACTCATGCTGGTCTCACAAGCGGGCTGTCACAGGAGAGAGCCCGGCCTCTCCCTCACTCTTGCTTCCTCTCTCACCACGAGACCTCCCTCTCCCACACACAGTCCCACTGTAGACGTCATCTGCCATGAGGCCCCCACCAGAGCCAAGCAGACGCTGGCTCCAAGCTCTTGCACCTCTAGTTAAAGGCACCCAGCCCCAGGTAATTTGTTATGGAGGCAGGAAATGGACTGAGACACCTTCCGTCCAGTAAACTGCTAGGCCTCAGCACCCGGAACAAGCTCAGAGAGTCTCATCCGGCTAAGCCAGCATGCCAAGTCAGCAGCTTTCCTTAAACACCACGTGCCAGGCTCTCCCATGCTTTAACCCATTATCCCTCACAGGTCTCAGGCAGATACCATTAATACCCCCACTTTCTAGATCCGGACACTGAGGCACAGCAAATTTAAGTAACTCACCCAAGACCACCAGTTAGGAAGCAGCAGAGCCAAACTTTGAACCTGGTTCCAAGGTCACGGCTTTTGACTTTTTTTTTTTTTTTTTTTTTTGTAAACTATGAGAAATCGTTTCTGAAGGATACAGAGTTTCATCCCTGAGGGACAGGCTTC